GACACAAATTGGGGTCCACGGTCAGATACAATAGTTGATGGAGGCCCTCTATGGCGGTAAATGTGCTCAATGAACATTCGTGCGACATCTTCAGAGGTGGCAGTCTTTTTGCAAGGAATACTGATGGGTCTCTTGCTAAATCGATCTACAATCACTAGTGCGGCATCATATCCTCTCTTGTCAGCTGGGAAGGAGCGAAAATCCATAGATATATGCTGCCAGGGCCGCTCTGCGATGGGCAAGGGTTGGAGCAGTCCAGGAGCATGATCACGAGGATTCTCAGCTCTCCGGCACTTTGAGCAATTCCGTACATATCTCTCCACATCTTGTCTCCAGGTTGGCCAATAGTATCGTGTTTTGATGAGCTGTTGGGTTTTTGTTCTTCCTGGGTGTGCAGTTGATACTTGTGTATGCACTTCATCAAGCAGACGGGTGCGGAGTTCAGGGTTATCATCAGGAACAAACAGTCGGTTTCCTTTCAGTAGTAGACCATCTTGCAGATTCCAATCATCCTTTCCTGCCCGAGCTCTCTCACGATGTTCCTCTGCTGTGGTAGAGTTCCGGTTTGCACTGAGCACTCGGTCCACAACTTGTAGAGTGGGCTCAAGCGCATTGATAGCATGGGCTTCAGCAAATTCGTTGACCTGGTTGGTTTCCATTCGCTGTTCAATGGATTCTGGTTTTAACAAAATCTGTTGGCGATAATCATCCTTTTTCTGCACTTCCGTGCTGGGTCGACTTAGGGCATCAGCCAAGGTATTCTCTCGGCCGGGACGGTAGCGGATTAGGAAGTAAAACCGGGAAAGGAACTCAGCCCACCGGGCTTGTCGTGCATTCAACTTCTTAGTAGTCATGAAGTATTCCAGGGCGCGATGGTCAGTATATATGTTGAAACGCTCTCGGAGTTGCAGTCCTTCTAGCTCAGCTCGCCACTCCTGCAATGCACGAATGATGGCCAGCATCTCCTTATCATGGATCTCATAGTTGCGCTCCGCGTCGGACATGTTCTTGGAATAGTAAGCCACTGGGTGCCAGAGATCTCCGTGCTTCTGGGAGAGTATCCCAGCTACCACCCCATCTGATGCGTCAGTTTCTAACTTCGTTTCCAGTTCAGGATGATAATGTCGCAGTATTGGGGCATCAGTTAATCGTCTCTTCAGCTCCTCAAAGGCCTCCTGGTGCTGCCTAGTCCAGGTGAAAGGCACGTCCCTCCTTGTTAGGTGATTTAGTGGCTTTGCAACACGGCTATAGTCCTTGATGAATCTTCGGTAAAAGTTGCAGAACCCAAGGAATGACTGTATACCTCGGACAGTGTTTGGCACAGCCCAATTGCAGATCACCGCTATCTTCTCTGGGTCGACTTCAATTCCATCAGTCGTCAGAATGAATCCAAGATACTTTGTCCGAGTGACATGAAATTCGCACTTCTTGATGCTAGCTTGGAGCCCCGCAGCACGCAACCGTTCAAGCACCTTCTTGACATGAAGTTCATGCTCATTGGTGTTCTTTGAATAGATAAGCAAGTCATCCACGAATGCTGTTACAAAGTCATCCAAATAGTCCATGAGGGTATCATTGATGAAGCGCTGGAATACTGCCGGTCCATTGGTGAGTCCAAAGGGAACCACATGGTATTTGTATGTCCCATATCGTGTCCGGAAGGTAGTCAGGTCCTCTGACATCGGGTCAAGCCGAATTCGGTGAAATCCTTGTCGTATATCTAATTTTGTGAAGATCTTCGCACCACTGATTCTCTCCATCAATTCATCGACCAGGGGTATGGGGTAGCGATCTTTCCGTGTGATGGCATTCAACTTCCGATAGTCCACACAGAATCGCAAGCCACCCCCAGGCTTCCTGGCCATCAGAATGGGAGATGCGAAAGGTGCGGCACTAGGTCCAATGAACCCCTTATTGAGGTTGTCCACAATATAGTCTCGTGCAGCTTCTAGTTCCTCTGCAGTCTGCTTGTATAAAGGACTATAGCCCACTTCGCTTTCTGCAGTCTTCCCATCTTCGAGCTTGATTTGGTAATCATTCGTCCGTCGGGGGGGCAGCTCGTCGGAAGCTGCCTTGGAGAAGACATCCGCATATTCCTGATACTGTTTGGGTAGTAGTTTCTGCACTAGTTCTTGCTCATAGTGATCTTCTTTCTGGCGATCCTTCTCGCGTTTCTCTTCAATGATACGGTCAATTTCAGACAAGCTGGCAACGAAGACTTCAACATCCTTCTTTTTCAGGTGCCGTCGGAATGGTACAGCTCCAATCGCTGCAATATCAATTTGGACTGCCTGATGAGATGTCGTCGCCCTTCGTGATTTCTGGTTGGCTATGACTAATCCAGAGATGTTTTCTGATTCTGCTGATTGGTCAGTTAGAAGTGACTGGCTCCTGAGAGCACGTGACATCTTCGCCATATTTATTCGCCGGTCTGATTCCTCCTTCCGGGGAGCTCGGTATCGCTCCCTTCGTTCCTCCTTTTCGATCCGTTGATCACGTCGCTCCATATCGGCTTGGTGTACGGGATCAGGCTCAGAACGCTGAAGGATCTCTTTCGGAACCTCCAAGTACTGATTGCGCAAGATGTCATCCAGGTAGTTCCGCTGTTCAGGCCAGACCAACTTCCGGTGTCGTACATTCAGCCAGACATCATGATAGCCAAACCATTTCTGCCCCACAATTATATCATGCTGTCCCAGGTCAGCGATCAAGAAGGGTTGGTTCAAGAGTCTCCGTCCGCCAATGATGAGGTGACAGATAATAGCATGGGTAATTGGTGATCCCTCCCGACCATCATACCCTTTTGTCTTAATGGTCTTGCTAAGCCGTCGTGTGGGAATCCCAAAGAACCTTGATAATCCAATCGCTTGTCGGGTGTTCATGAAAAGATAACCATTTGCTCCAGTGTCGGCCAATGTGGTCAAAGGGATACTGATTCCATTGTAAGCTACTTGACTGCTCACATTACAATTCTGTCCCCCAATCAATTGACTAAGATCCAATTCTAATTCATCTAGGTCGACACTATCTAACCCCAGGTCGGAGACTTTATCCTGGGCTAGGCTTTTCCCGCATTGTTGTCCAGTTCATTCTCAGACACTTTCTGTTCCAGCTCCTTCAATTCGGGGGCTGAGGACTTGGCAGGACAGTCTCGAGCAAGATGTCCATGTTCCTGGCAGTGGAAACATCTACCTTCCTTCATCAGTCTGTCACGTCCGACACCGCTAGTCTGTGAGGCGGTAGGACTAGAGCTTCGGGATGGAGTTGGTTCCTTCTTGACAGTGGTACCAGATCGGTTAACTCCCTTGCTTGTTGTATCCTTGTTGGGGGTGAACCCTCGGTTCTTCTGGTTTCGGTGATGGATAGCTTCGAGTCGACTTGCAGTCTGAGATACTGCATCAGAGAAATCCTGGAATGGCCCATCCTGGTAGCTCGCTGAGATACACAGCTCTTGGAGCTTGGTCGTCAACTTGTGGTAGAGCTCATCCTTCCAATCATCCTCTGCAACACCTGCTTCCGCAGCAAGGTACAGGAATTCAGACAGGAAGTCATGGAACTTGTCACTTGTCTTCATGTACAACTGTCGAAATTGGTGCTTTGCAGTGGTGATGCGGTTCGGGTCATTGTAGATCATCTTTAGGTGGTCCAGCATGTCCTTTGAATCGACATAAGGGTTCAAAACATCATCCCTCATACGTGGTGTGATGTGCTTTCGGGCCTTGCCCTCGCAGCGGCTGGCAATGTATGCCATGCGAAGTTGAGGGGTATCAAAGTGGTCTGCATTGGCGGCTAGCTTCTGGGATAACAGAAGCAACCAATCTTCAAATCGAGGCTCCTTACCATCAGTCAACATAGGGGGATCAGGAATCTTAGTTGACTTTCGGACAGTAGGTGCAGAGGAAGTCTGTCGGCCATCATTGACAGTATTCATCATCAACCGGGCAATCTGGGTGGCAAAGGCATCTCGCTCTGTTCTAGCCTCAGCCAGCTCCCGACGCAGGATTGCGATCTGTCCATCCTTGGTCTGACCATGAAGCTCCTCTCCTGCAAGCTGAGCCTCACGATCCTCCAGGCACTCCTCATATCGCTGGTGGACTTGTTGGAGCTTCTCATAGAACCACTCAGGCTTGTCAGTGACAAACTGTAAGAATTCCTCCAAAGTCACCATGCGTCGTTCTTCATTCTCATCTCCATCAATAAAGATAGAGGATCGTCGATTCTCTTGGTTGATATCATCGTCGTTCGTCTCGTTCTGGTTGGCCCTAGGAGGGACAACGGTGCTGTTCTGTCGAGCCATACTGGCCAGGATCGTCGTATTAGTCGATTGTCGGTATCAATCTGATTCGTTCGGTGGGTCGGTCAGATAGTTGGGAGACGCACTACTATGGCTCCACGATCGCTGGATCGAACCAATGAAGTAGGCGTGTTGAGAAAAAAAGGCGAGATTCGATATTATGTCACGGACTCGGACCAGTAGATACTAATGAAATGATATTCCTATCTAACCAGTGTAGCCATCGACTAGAATATCGAATCTGGAGAAGAAAAGAGAAGAGGCAAATCTATTTACATGAAGAAGTCCTATATGTTTGTGTGTGGTCTCGCTAAGCAGCTTGTTTGCCTTGGTTGCTTCCATGACATTGTTTGCCGTGTTGATGATGTTTGCTGATGAAGGCGCTGAGCTGAGCCGTTACACCTGGCTTTTGCAGCCAGGGTCCTACAGTGTTTGCTGAAACTCAGCCTGCGGTCAAACCAGATGCCCAACCAACGTGTTGCGCCACCAGGAGGGGGAGGCCTGACTGTGTGCGTGCCTTGCAGGGTGTGTATGGAGCATGTGGGGTTAGAGTGGTTGGTACCACGTGAGAAGTGCTGTAGCTCTGTTTTGTTGAGATTGAAGGTGAGTCCTTCTCTAGTACCCCATTGTCTGAGCTCTTCGGTGCAGTGCTGAAGGACAGTGCAGTTTTCCTCTAAAGAGGGACTGGCCACCAGCTGGCAGATGTCATCAGCATATCCAAAACGGCCGTGTCGGGTGCGAAATGAGCCCTGTTTGAAAATAGGCTCAATGAATAACATAAAGAGGATCGGGGAGACTGGGGAGCCTTGTGGGAGACCTGCTGGAACCTGGAATGTCCGGCTTGTATGGTTCCCTAGGCGGAGACTGGCTGTTCGACCTTGGGTGAAGCTAGCTACCCATCAGATTAAATTGATAGGCCATCCCTGTTCCCGAAGCCGCTGGATCAGTTGTCCCTGTAGGACAGCATCAAAAGCGCCTTGTACATCCAGTGTCAGCATGGAGGCCTTCAGCCCTCGTGACCAAGCCTCCTCAACATCATGGATCAAAGCTGCGGCTAGGTCCGTTGCGGAACGCAGTGGTAGAGCTCCGAATTGCTGAGGATGGAGGACTTTGTGTTTGATAGCAATCCATGCTATTCTGCGGGCTATTAGGCGCTCGAGGCCTTTTCCCAAAACTGACAGGAGAGATATTAGTCTGTAAGCTCGGGGGGAGCTCCGGTCTCTCTTTCCTGGTTTTGGTAAGGCCACAAGCGAAGCATCTCAGAAAGGAGTAGGGTGCCAGCCCTGGTCTAGGCAGTGTTGGTACAGTGTCGAGATAGCAGGGCCTAGGGAGGGCCATGCCTTCTTTAGGGTGGAAGTGCTTATACCATCCTTCCCTGGAGTGCTGTTCTTTGGTTTGGCAACTGCAGTATGGATCTCTTTCTCTGTGATGGCCGGGAAAGGCAGTTTGGGGTCATCAATAGGCTCCAAATTGACCTCCACATCTTCTGAACATG